CTTGAAAAAGGACATTGTGGTAAGATTCTGAAGATATGTTCTGGTTTAAGGAAGTTGAATAGCATGCTGATATTAAGATTAAGTTTCAGTTTTAAGTAGAATGACATTTGAAATTAATAAATAGGAAAAAAGAGGAAAACTCAACAGGGAAATTTTGAATTGACACATTCAGCTCCTGTTCTATTAAATGTTCCAGACCAAAAAAAAAAAGAGATGAGTTATATTTTACTGAATTTACAAAATGTTTAGTCCATGGCAGGTTTTAATTTAGACGTGAACAAATTGTAAATATTCATGTAGAATTTAAAGATGGGATAGCAATAGGTCATACATCGTCATTAACAATACAGAGCTCTTTTCCCTCATTCCCAGGGTGTGGCTGCTGCTTTCCCCAACATAACTGGGGCTCTGCCAAAAGTTTCTTATCTGCTTTACCAAATAAATTACAATTTTCGCAACCAGCCTCAACTTCTGAACTTTGAGTGTCTCTGGGAGGGTCATATGTCAATGAGGCTTCTTCAATATCCAGACAGGGAAAGGAGAGGAACAGGAGACAAAGGTTCAGTCTGTTGTCTAAAGTGCAGAGATTGACAAATGTGATGTCCAGTATCGTTCACTGTTCCATGTATGAGAGGATACAGACCATGTTCTCTGTATGTGACATAGAACTAACCAGTCAGTGACTCCATGCTGGACTGTGTATACAGGATGGGGAAATAATTTGTACACATCCAAGAAAATACACACTTACTCAGATGAAGTTCTGATTAGAACCTTCCGATGCTGTAGAATGGGCACAATGCCTACTTCACAGAGTTGTGCTGAGGACTCGATGAGATATGTAAAGTAGTCATATATCTCATACGTATGTAAAGTACCCATGTAAAGTAGTTATCACTGTATGGCACATGTAAGCATTCAACAAAACAAATATATTGTTTTAGTGAATGTTCTTCAAGATCAAATTCCCATGGAAGTCCTCAGGCATTAAACGGGCCAAGTTATACCCATCTGGTGGATAACAGATAAATAGAAGGTAAGTGATTCAAACGCAATGAATTATTTACCTGCAGAGGATAACACTGTGCCTGTGGAATTATTTGGCTTTTCATGTTGAATTCTCCTTTTTAATGGACAGTATTAATACCTGAGTGAGACTTAGTGTTGATTTGGAGTTTTGCTTTTCTTACGTATTTCAATTTTCCTGATACTTGTAATGATTCAGTTGGTACACACCCCAAAATCATCCACTTTGTGTCAGGCCTTTAGAAAATAACTAACTATAGAAATATTAAACAATCATATGTTTTAGTCTGTTAAGTGGTAGAAGACAGGCCATCTTCAGGACAATGCTAATTTTTACATACATTCTCAACCAATGTTTATAAAAATTTGAGCCAATATTTTTAAATAGGAAATTCCACATAAAAATCCAGATATCCAAATTCCCTTGGAAAAATCAAGTGATATGACAGCACAAAGCCAGCACTGCCATCAATTCCTGCCTGGCAACAGTAGACAACAACGAGTGAGGTTGAGCAGTGGTTGTCTGCCACTCCACAATACGCCCTCTCCTCACCAGAACAAGGCACATAATTTGTAGGGTTCAATGAAAATGGAAATGAGAGGTCCCTTGTTCAGGAATTATTAAGGATTTCAAAAATATAACAGCAGAACATAAAACCAGGTGTGAAATCCTTCTGAGGGAAGAGAGGAGGGGCCATGTGCAACTGCACAATTCTGTCGCCATGAAGCCAGTCCTGCCCCTTGGGCCCCTAGACAAACAGCAAGGTGTTTGTTTACCTAAGTATTCTCCCATTCATTCAACAATCAAGCCAGTATTTTCAATATGCCAGACACTAGCCCCTGAAATCTGAGGTTCAAAGCCTAGCTCAGTGTAGCAGCACACAGCAAAGCGTGAGAGCCACTGGGCCCTCTCTTCCTTGTTAAAGCTGGATCCACACCAGAGACACCAAGTGAGACTTAATCCAAGTAAAATTAAACTGCTCCCAACAATACAGATTGGCCTGAGCCCTTTTGTTGGCATCACAGGGGCCTCGATTACAAATTCTGAGGCACAGCTCACAAGTGCTAATGAATAACCAAGTCCTCTTGGCTGGGTAGACAGTGGGCCCAGAAGTGAAGGGCTGGCCTAGGAGAGATTTGAACATGAACCTCACCATCTGGCTCTCTGTGACTCACTTTGATCACAAAATGAATTGCAACAAATTGAAGAGCACATGGCCAGAGTTAATTGTCTCATCTGTAATCTGAACCTACTTTTAAGCAGTTATTATTACCCTCTATCAGGTGGAAATGTTTTCTACCATCACTGCAAAGTGCATTTTCCTGATGAACTGTAATGGATCATTAAATTCCATATCTGAATAACAATACTTTGCACTTATTCAGTGCCTTTCATCCAGGGATTTCAAGGCAGTTTGCAAATAATTAAGCTCCTCACATAGCAGCCAGAGGTGAGTGACTGGAAGGGAATTGCCTGAAGATACTAAGTCAAAGGGCATAATTCAACAGAAAGAGAATAAATGGCTTCCTCCCAGGCATTGGTAATAGTAAGAGTGAATTAGGGGATCTCCATTCCCTCTTCCCTTCTGCTTCACCCCTTCTTCCCTACAACAGATGCTGACATGCAACATACAAAGGACTGAAAAATAAAATAATATAGAGGTGTTCAAAATTTGGTTATCAGTTCAGATACACACATGAGGAAAATGTATCTTTCCATGTAATCCTGGAATCTACATTACAAACTGACACTCCAATCCACCTGCAGAAAGACAGACATCAGAGGAATTTATTGATAATTTATGATCATCAAATGGCAAACCTGAAGCTTTCCAAAATTCAAAATGAAAATACTAATCAAAGTAATTTGTTCCATGATTGTCTATTCCATTTCTGGTCCCCCATCCCACTTGAATGATATTCAAGTTTCAGAAAGAGCAAATAGAATGGAACTTGGAAATTAACGCATTTTTTTAGACCAAAGTACAGGAGGGAAAAACATCACAGCCACTCAAAGTTTTGCGGTGAAATTATAAACTCCAGAAAAACTGAATTTATAATGGAAAGGCTGACAGACCTTTCACTGGAGCAGTTTGAATGCAACATTGTAATTTAGCAATCTCTCTTACAGACTAAAGACTAATTCTAACAAGATGTCATTATGACTCACGTTTATTATTACCTGCAAGAATGAAAAATGCCGTTTACTCGCGAGCTGCTGGAGAACCAGGGTGGGGCGGTCTCATATTTTAAGCGAGACGCCCGCTGCCTTACTGAAATAGCCCTCTCCACCAGAGGAGTGGCAGCCTTTCACGCTCAGCTTCTTTCATGTCAGCCAGAGCCTTCGCAGCTCGACATGCCTTTCCTACATGTTACATTTTAATGATCTGAGAAAACCGTTATCGGAGTTAACATCTCTAATTTTACTCTAAACAGACAAAAGCAAAAAATCTCATTAGGCATCATCTCCGCCAAGGTTCCCACTAGGCAGTAAAGGATTTTTATCTAAAGTAATTACCCTTTTTAGTTAAATACACTCAACAGATGAAATTTACACAGAGTGAGAGACTGCAGCACTAGACAGAGAAGGTGCAAACCGAGGAACGCCGCGTCTCGCCACCCGCGGGGAATCGGCAGCTCTGTCTAGAGGGGGAGGCGCCCTTGTCCTTCTGGTTTCGCGGTGCCAATGGTGGTGGCGGTGGTGGTGGTGGCGGTGGCGGTGACCCGGAGGGCACGCTGTGAGGCGCACCTTCTTGGGCCACGGACAAAACCACTCCGGACAGCTGCCGCGCGGGAACTTGCCCCAAGTTGCCAAACTTGCTTAAAGGCAAGAGGATGCTGATAATACCTTGCGCGCCCAAGACCTCCGAACCCAGGAACGCGCGGCCTTCCAGACACATACACCCGGCCCTGCCCGCTTCCTCCCACGGTCCAATTTCTTGCAAGTCCCTGGCCAGAGCGAGGTCGCCGAGATGCTCGCTCAGTCCCCTCTCGCTGGCACCTGGGGTAGCCCGTGAGCGCCGCCCTCCGCCCTCTCCGTGGTGTTCGGCTCCTGAGCACCCACAGGGTGAGAGAACTGAGAGACCCACGGAGAGTCTGGGCATGGGGAGGTGCTCCCTAGATAAATTCCCATCCTAGTTGGAGCTTCTGGGGCTTGGAGACTGTGTGTAGAGTGTGGGTGCGTGTTGCACTTGGACTTCATGTAGGACCTTGGGAAGAGATGGGTGCAAGGTGTCTCAGCCACAAGGTTGAGCTCCGCGGGACGCATTCCGACTACCGTACCCCTGACTAGTAGGTATTCCACCTAGTTCTAGTCTGCTCTGCGAGGTCCCCAGTTGCTTTTTCCTAGGACCCTAAACTTGAGCTTTGATCCTCCGGCGAGTCGCGATGATCAGGGCCACCCGTTTGCGGCTGACAGCTGAGCGCAAAGGCGCGGCGACCGCAGTCTTTGCGGAGCAGCCCTGGGCGCGGATGTCTTGAGCAGGGGAGGAGGCCGCCGGGCCTGGCGCGCGGATCACCGGCTAGGGACCCGGTTGCCCGACCTCGACCGCCAGGGACAGGGCCGTAGGTCTGACAGCTGCTCGGGCTCGCGCGGACGCGCGCCTCCCTCCAGCCCGCCCTCCCCACGCCTGACTTATTACCCTCTGCTCTTCCTCCCCCTGCTGTTCCAAAACACCAGTCGACGCGAGCAAAATACAATGCCGCCTCGCCCGCCGTAAACAGCCAGGCGGGGAAAGCGCACATTTGCTGCTGCGCGTCCGCCGGCTCTGCTCCCAGCCCCTTCCCGTTCCTAGAAAAATGCCATAAAAGCGAGCAGGGCGCTGGGCTAGCAGCTGCGCGCCCGGCGGCCGCGGTTCCCTTCCCGCGCCGCTTCCCCACGCCTCCCCGCCCGCTCCGCGCACCCACTCCCCGCGTAAACTTGCCCCGCCGCCCTGCCCGGCGCCGCGGCCCACGTCCCGGGGCCAGGGACTCACCTCGCCAGAGAACTTTGAGTCCTTTCCGCCTCTTCTTCCCCGCGTCTTTCCAGCCCGCAGCCCCCTCCCGGCAGCAGGCGCGGTGGGCGATTCGGGGGTCAACGAAAGCTCGCTGAGGGGACGCGCATCACATGGCAGCTCGTTCCCAGCCCCCCGAGTGTGCTGGGAAGGGGGAGGGGAAGGGGCGAGGGGAGATCGGGGAAAAGCGAGAACCGGGCGGCGGCGGGACTGGGCAGGCGGGGTGGCGAGGGCGGCGGCGGGCGCTCACGTTAGCGCTGCTGCGATCGCAGCCCGGGCGTGCACGGCCGCTGCTGCTGCTGCTGCTGCTGCTGCTGCTGCTGAGGCGGCGGCGGCTCGGCGCTGTTTGCTCCGCGCCGCGCGGCTCGCGCTCTCCCCGGAACGCCCACACTCTCAATCGCTACATTGTTGACATTCGGCGCTGACGTCACCCGCTCCCCATTCACAATAACTTTACGGGAGCCGGGCAGCGCACCTCCCCGGCCGCTGGGGCGCCGTACGCCTGGCGACTAGCGTAAGCCGCTCCGCGAATGGCGCTCCGGGGGCTGGGGCGGGGGGGGGGGGGGGGGGGGGGGGGCGGGCGCGCGCTTCGCTGGCTCGCGGGAGGGGGCGCGCCTCACGCCGCCGCTGCAGCCGTTCGCCCCGCTTTGTGCGGCCGCGCGGCCGGGAGAGCCCTCTCCTCAACGCCGGCCTGACAGACTCGCTCAGCCTGGCCTTGCCAGGCCTTGAAAGACACGGGTTTGGGGCAAGTGGGATTAGAGTAGTGATGAAGGCTAGTGTGTCACAAGGGGAGGGTGCCAGAGCCCCAGGCACTATACCCAGGGAGGAGAGCCAAACCTCGAAACCTGGGATTCCTGGGTTGTCTAGCCTTGCCCTGGAGGGACGGGAAAAGATGCACAACGGGCCCCTACAAAGCTAACCAGGCCCTGTCTTGGGGATGGGGGAGTATGCATAGGAAGAACAGTGTCCTACCCAAGAGAGACTTTGATGTTTGAATTCTTTTCTGGATTGCCTTGGCCTTCTGCAAACTGGATGAGCCTGGAAGCCCCCATGCCAGAGTTTATGGAAGTGCACGGATCTATTGCGAAGCCTAAATAAAAAGCCACCTTCCCAGCTTTAGCCTCACCTCCTACTGCGCTGTAGCCACTTTCCCCTGCCTTTACTTTAGACACTGCTTCTGCCCTTTAAGACCATCGTGTGGCTGCCCTGTAGGAAGAAAGCTTGGTGGTGGTAGGATTTTAAAGGGAGTAATTAGAACTTAGGCTGAACGTACATTTGCAATAAAACAAGGTTGTGTTAATGTTGTGCTGGTGCCTGCAACTTTACCCCTCACCAAGGCCAAGAAATTCTGCCAGGTTTCCCTAAACACCTATAACTTGGCCCTCTTGTGTAAGGCAGTATTCCATATTATTACATGTGGTGCTGATTTTTAATGAATATTATAAAACTTTGGCTTGCTCTACTGAGAGAGGGATCATAAATCCCCCCTTGTAAAATGGGCACTGGCATATGCTGAGGAAGCAGTGAAGCATCACCCTGGGAGTCTTGTGATATCATCCAAGTGTTGCTTGAGCCACCTTCATTTGAGAGCAGAGTTTTAAAAGGCCCCATTCGGAATGTCTGTGTGGTAAGCTAAGTGACCGCCCAATGCAAGCTGAAGGTGCTGAGCTAATTTTTTTAACAGCCCTGCAGATCCTTGAAGTGTGGCAGCACATGAGGAGATTTTTTTCTGCTAACCTTTCTGGTTTCAGATAAGGAAAAGTCTCAGAAGTAGCCTCTGGTTTCTGATCTACTGCCCCTTGGGGGAAAAAACACCTTGCTTCTGAAGTTCCTGCCTGACTCCCCTTGGCAAGGACAGAAGACCCATCCCTAGTCTGACTTGTGCTTGCCATTTCTCACCAGTCCTATGAATGGTTCTGCTTTTGCATTCTTCATTCTTGTACGTGTTGGTGAAAAACTATGCATTTTAATAGCACCAATCAATGTTTTTCTCACAAGAGCCAGGCTTGAGGTCATCTCTATGAGGATGCATAAATTCATTTCTTTTTATGTAGACTATGGCTGCCCTGCTATGGGAGTGGAATTCTGCACATTAGTGTGGAGGTGGGTGAGGAGGGGGATCCCGTTGCAAACTGATCTGGTCCCAGATAGATACAACACAGGCTAGCCAGCCACCGTGATGCATGCCTGTATTTCAGCCTCTCTTCACAGCACTTCTGCAGAGGTTCGGCTCTAAGATAGCCTTGGTCATGAGTGTTTGCTTTCCATTCCCTGGGCTGTGGTGCTACACTTTACGTGTTTACGATGGAAAACTGATGCAGGGCAGGGGCTTTCCTTCTCTGTATTTATGGCAATAACCTGAATAGAGGTCGACTTATTTCCCATGTCTGGAACATGCAACCTTTTCTAATACATCCCCCCCACACACTACATAATTACATATGTGTTTGGATCTGGAATATGGGCTTCATCTGTGATACATTTCTAAAGCACAATATGGTTGCCAGGGACAATAACTTTGTACCATGGCATTAAAGCTAATCAACATGATTTCTAGAAATCTCCTTGATTTTTGTAAAATAGAGAAAAGAAGATATACAGACAACAAAAAGATAAGGAAAGGAAAACAGAAGAAAGAGTGGTTCTGGAGTCTTCAACTTTGTGCTTCCCAGCACCCTAGACAGAATTTGAAGATGCTGAGAAGATAAAAATGGTTTTTCTCAGACAAAACAGTAGGCAGAATTTCAAATGCAGTTGGCACCTTGAATAAGGCTTAGCAGGGCAAAGTTAACATCCAGTGAAATCTGACAAAAGAGAACAGAGTGGGATGCTGAGAGGAAGACTGCCAAAGCCAGCAGGAGCCATGATTATGGGAAGTTCCTTGAGAGTTTTACTAACTAGGACAAGCTCCTTGGAATTATGACTTGTGTTTATTATTTCAAAAACAGATGTTATAAAGTGTGTGTAAAGTATAAAACCTCAGCTTAGTAATGTACAGGTGACACTAGAGAGTTGATGGAATTTGAATAGCTTTGAGTGGTGATTTGTTCAACAATTTTTGAACCACATGTTATGAGGAAGGTAATCTTCTACAGTCTGGGATGTGATAGTGAACAAAACAAAGCCTGGGTTCTCATGGAATTCTCATTCCGGTGATGAGACCAGGAGGGAGACAGACAAGGAGTCAAGCATATATACTCATAGATATGTAGTCAGATTGTGTATTATAATGGCTTCAGGGGGTGGGGATAAAATAAACAAAAGAGCTCAGGAGTAACAGGGGTTGGGGATATTCTTACATGGGGGTGATTGGTCATAGAAGCCTTTCTTAATGAGGGAATATTTGAGTAGAGATATGAATGCCTAAGGGGCAACCACTACAGCTATCCTGGAAGTAAAAGTTTTCAGATATGAGGGAGAGAAGTGCAAAGGCTCTGAGGAACAGTAGACTTGGCATGTTCCAGGAACAAGAAGAGCCAACAGGTCAAGAGGTCAGTAATTGATACAGAAGAGCAAGGAGGGGAGTAGCAGGAGATAACACCAGAGAGATAACCAGCAGGCCTGTTTTAGGTGGTGGGAAGACATTATAGGGGTTTCTACAGAGAAAGCACACGACTGACTGGGTCTTGACTCCCAAAGGATCATTCTGCCTGCAAGGTGGAGGGGAGGGCAAGAATAGAAGTAAAGAGGCAGGAGGCTATTGAGAGGGAGGTGATAGTGATTTGGTCTGGAATAACTACCACAAATGGAATCTGTAAAGTTTCAAAGTGAATTGGGAAGAATTTACTGATGATTCAATTGTGGAATGTGAGTGAAAGAGGAGTCAAAGAAAATTCTGTATTTTGACCTGAGCAGCTAATTGGTGGAGATTCCATTTAATGAGTACGGAAGACCACAGGAGGAAGAGATACAGGTGAAATCCACAGGATTTTGTTCTGGATACAGTAAACTTCAGATGCCTACCTAACTTCAGACACCTAAGTGGAGAAGTTGGGCAAGTGATTAGAGGTGGGGATCCAGAATTCCGGTGAGAGTCCAGACTAGAGGTAGAAATCCACAAGTCACCAACACAGAGCAGCTGGGAATATAGTGGAGAAGAGAAGGGAAAAGGAAAAAAATCTGAAAATTAAGATCTGGGCACTTCAACATTTAGAGGCTAGGAAGGTGAAAAAAAGTGAGGAAGACCCAGCCAAGGAGGCCGAGAAGCAGCAGCCAATGAGAGGGGAGAGGAGAGGGTAGCATCCTAGAGACCAAGTGAGAAAGGATGTTTTGAGAAGCAGGAAGTAACCATCTGTGCCTGTTCTGCTGATGAGACAAATGAAATGAGAGAATACAGTATTAATTTTTATGATTGGTGACTTAGAAGTCATTGGTATCCTTAGCAGAGGGAGGATGGCAGAAATAAAGCCTGGCTGGAGTGGTTTTGAGAGAGTGTGGGAGGAGAGGAAGTGGAAGAGAATAGACCCCTCTTTAGAGGAGGTTTGCTGTGAAAGGGGGAAATAGATAGGGGATGTTGGGAGAAATTAGAGCTCATTGGTTTCAAGAGGGGGAAACTATGGACATGTAAAGAGAAATGGAATGATTTCTGGAGTGAAGTTCTTGAGTTGAGAGTAGAACCACTTAATCCCTAGTGATAGGAGGGAGGGCAATGCAGGTGGTGTGCGGGAGGGCTGGGATGTGCTATTGAGAAGTGTGGGGAGCTCTAGTCTGAATGGTTCTGTTTTCTTAGTGGACTAAGAAGCAAGATGGTCAGCTGATGGTGGAGGAGGGCAGGGTATAGGAGCTGAGGCCACAAAAGAAGTGTGAACTAGTTAGTGCTAGGCAATGTAGCAGAATTGCTGAGCAGCAAAGAGGACTTGGATGGGTCACTGCTGGGGTCTTTATGGACATGCCCCTGCCAAGAAGAGTTATTTCTTGCCATACCAAATCTCACCAAGTTCTGAAAAATGATCAATGCATCATAAAGCAGAAAACACCATAGTTTCTAAGGTGACTAGGATCACACAACAATTTGACCTCTAGCTGTTGTTGAATTTGACTGACATTTCTCTTATTTGTCTATCTCTACCTCCTCCCAAGCCACTCAATTCCTAAGGTAAACTTTGGAAATACTCCCAAAGAGGAAGCAACATAGAGATATAGCCCAAGACTTAATTCTGTACTAAACAA